CTCAAACTTTGTCATGCCCACATCCATGGTCACTCCTCTATGAAACAGAACAGATGATAAACAAATAAATCTTGGTTTGGGTCACTTTTACCAAACAGAAATGACAGCGGATTGTGTTTGTATTAAACGTACCTGTCTCTCTCCTCTCCTGTCTCATCCAGTACCCACGCATAAGCGAATGAGGCCTTGCCAGCTTTCTTGGCCTCCTGCTCATATTTATGCATGGTTCTCTTATTAACGTTCCCCAGCAGATATAACAGATGACCCATGAGAGTGCTCTTACCAGCATCTACATGACCTACACACACACACAAAAAAGTTCAGGTTTCACATTTACTGCATATATAATGTTTTTTTTTATCTAACAGAGACATTACGCATCCAAATACTTTAGGGGGTGACATTATGGTAATTGGATTAATCAAAAGAATAAAACTAATTCAAATGCATCACCAAAATATTAAGTGGATGACAATGCGGCAGGATGAATAGTGAGAGAGAGAATATCATGCCTATGACCACCAGGTTGAGTAGCGGTTTTCCTCCTTGTCTTTTCTCCAGTTCAGCACGGATGTTGAGCTGCTGTTTGCTCTTTCCAGCTGGTCGAGTTGGGGTCGGGGCGGCAGAGTCTTCATTCACAGCCGATGGTTTGGATGGGGTCTCTGTGGTTGGTGCAGCAGTGACCTCTGGACTCGCCCCTCTGCGAACTGACGGGGCAACAACTCCGTTTTCTTCCGCACTTTAAAGACACACAAAATCAAATGTTACCTCAGAATTTTTAACATGGCTTGTTTTGTATTATTCTTGTTCATACGGTCAATAAAAACCTAATTTAGCTAATTTGCCATGAACAAAAACAAGGCTGTGATAAACATACAACCCATTATGTCATACTGTGTTACGGTCCTAGGTCTTTTTTTCAAAAACTGTGTTTTTTATTTTTGGGGGTCAAATTGCATTTGCAAGAAGCTTTGCTCACCAAGGCTGCATTTATTTCATTAAAATACAGTAATATTGCGAAACATTATTACAATTT